AGAAAAGCAGCCAGAGTCACATCTCTGGTAACTGTTCAAGCCTGCTCAGCTGTGCCTGAAGTGGATCCTCCCCAATGAAGTAGCTCTTCTTGCTGACAAGAGGAGGAGGTTGGATGGTGAGGATCTTCCACTGGATGTGAAAATTTAGCACAGCTACTTAAAACAATTCCCATCTTTGCCACGGATAATCACTCAAATCTCAGCTGTTAGGCACTGTAAAAAAACTCCTTTTCATGTGCAGATCCACTCTGGGAGTCCTTCCCTAACACTCAGATGTGAAGTCATTCCAAAGCTGCCTCAAAAAGACAACAAAACATCATGCATGACTGGTCTTGTGTGTAACACCATCAGCTTCAAGCACTCTTCCCATACACGAGCCAGGATTCCCACACCCTCCCTCACCCCGCTCCAGCAGTCACATCACCACGGGTGAGGCACACCAGCTTTGTCCTTCACTGTATTCTTGGTGGGGAACAGCCTAGAGACATTTTACTGGAAGTGCCTGTATGATTTTATGGAGACAAACCAAAGATATTTCCTAAAGAAATTGAGATTTTTACACATCACAGCCACACAGCCATCTGGGATCTGCACCCTCATTCCCCTCAAGGATTTTTTTGTAGAGCTTGTTATCAGGAACATAACTTTCAGCATGAGATAACAAAAACTAAATAGAATAAACTAAAAATAATATTTTTTTTAATATACTTTAAAAAAAAAGAAACTAAAACAGAGATTCAGTGTAAGTGCCATCAGGAAAGACACTGGAATGCAGAGCTGGAGCTGCAAAAAGCAGCAGAGTCCTCTTACCCTACAGGCCACCTCTCGCACCTGAGAGGAGCTGTAAGGTTTCTTTCAGCAGGTCCTGCACTACCTGCTGTGACCAGCCCATATCCAGAACACATCAGCCTTACAGAACACATCAACCAGTGAATATAACAGCGTGGAGAAAGAAGTCAGGCAAAAATCAGCCTCCAGCCACGAAGCATCCAAGGCTCATAGGCTTGAAGCATCCAAGGCTCACAGGTTTGCAACAAGCACTTTCTAACATAAAAAACTGTTTTCCCAAGCCACAGCTACATGTAACTATTTTGTTTGAGGGAGATAAAATAACATCTTACATCACACCATAAACTGCATAATTCTGGTACATAAAGAAGAGTCATGAGTACACTTAGAACTGGTTTGTTTTTCCTTCTAACATAACCAAAGTGATAAAAACCACATTTATCTCTGGCATGTCTGTAAGAATAGCAAACAGCAGTACTCAACACGAGTCTGAGCATCTTTCTTGAGTACATCAATTCTAATTTCTCAGTCAGCTCCTGCAGATGATACCCAGCAGAGTTCCACCCCAGCATTTTCCTTTTTTCTGGGCAGATTCCCTGTCTCAGGAGGTGACAGACTGTCCCAGGTGTCACTAACACAGGTCTAGTGGCCCGTGGTTCTGTGCATCTTTGGGCTCCAGGCTGGAAACAGAGAAGGCAGGACAGGGGACCCCCTGCTCATGCCCCATTTGTTGGCAGATGGGATGGCCAGGAAAGCCCTCAGGAAGACACAGCTGCTATCAAAGACAGTAGAAACAGTTTTACTAGCTCAAATTAAAACTGGATTAAATCCTGAGAACCACAAAATAGTTCTCTATATTTTAGTGAACATCTTTAACAGAAAAAGCTAATTTTTCCTAGAAGGAATTAAAAAAGGCTAATGAAATCAATATTGACTACTCAGTGTTTTTATTCTCTTCCTTTCTGGGTATCACAGTGCCTTCTAAGACACATCACTTGTGTGCAAGGGGTGACTGCAAGGTGTGATGCAAGACATGACTGCATCTTCTCAAAGCAAAACAGTTACACATAGCAGTATATTATGAAAACTTTTTTTTTTTTTTTTAATGTTAGAAAGTACTCACTGCAAACCTGTGACCCTTAAAAGTTTTTTAGCTGGAGGTTGGTATTTGAGCTGTGCTGTTGCATTTAACTTCTTCCCATTCTCTGCATAGACAAACCAGGTAAATCATATTTAATTGACTCCAGTGTGTTCCTGTCACATGTACAAAACATGTCCCACAGGGCCCACTTACATTTAGCTCCCTGAGCTAGTCCTGCTTCTTCCTCTGAATCACACTCCTCTTCAGCATCACCACAGTGATGGCACAGCTTACACTCCATAGGCACACTTTGGAGAGCCAAGGGACAGTAGGGGTTAATGTAAACTGTTTATTGACACCAGCTGTCATTTTACTGTCCAGAAGGTTTGTTGGGTTCATTTAGTAATTAAAAAAAAAATGCTCTGGCCTAGAAGAGACGGGAAAATAAATCTATTTTTATTTGCAGTACTTCTGCAGGTCACTAAGTTAATGGAGTATTACTGCATCTACTGAAGCATTTTTTTAAACTGTGTTTAGGAAACATGTTATTATTAGGAACACACACACATCCCACAGAAGTGCTCTGGGCACAGCAGCAATGCATAGGGCTCTGGCAAGTATTTAACATCCCAAACCTCTCCCTCTCTTCCCCCCTGGGCAGAGACAGAGATTTATAATGGACTAAGAAGCAGCAGAAATGCAGTTATGGGTGGCTGCCCCACTTCTGTAATAGCAACAACTTTTTTTTTTTTTTTTTTTTTTTTTTTGGTTAAGCAGCTCTTTGGATTAAAAAAGAAAAAAAAAAAAAAGCCTGAGTACTTTGGCACACAGATCACATATCAAAATATAAAGCTGACTGTGGACAGAAAGAAGTTTAAGCCTGGTCCTCTTCTAGTGTTTGCAGTGTCCAAGGGAAGGGAGGGATGAAATGCCACAAAGAATATACAGCACAGAAGGACACTTTAAAACTCTTGCCACTAATCCCAGAGTAAGTAATAAAAGACAGGGAAGCTGACAGAAATACTGTATTTAGGAAAATCACTGAACAGCATAATAGCCCCTATTTTTGTTACTTTAGTTTTAGTTCTGAGTCAGTTTTTATATCTGCCCTTAAAACTGCCTCATGCTTTAGTGCCCAACAAACACATAGTAATACCTTCCTGGAGTATAACCCATGACATAAGATTTGTAGAGGTCTTCTAGACATGAAAAGTACAGTCTGACAGCTGTCAGGAACATTTTCTGACAGAACAGCTCTCACCTGATCTGTGGGATACTCCCCTTCTCCCTGCTTTAAGGCCTTACAGGAATACTAGCACTAAGGAAAAGATGTGCTGATTAAATCCTTGTTTATTTGGGTACTGTTAATAGCAACTGATGACAGTCATGTCAGAAAGTGTAATTCCTAACATAGACACCAAAAAAAGCCTCATTTGGGTTCCTCTCCAAAAGCCTTTTAAGACAGACACGTGGGCAGCCTGCTTTTCTGAAGCAGAAGACGTCAGCTTATATTTATACCAATCAAAAACAGAAGAAAAGGAGTGGTGGACTAGAGGGATCTTGTTTACCCAAACACAAAGCCAAACACTGCCCAGGACTGTGCATCTCTGTTTTCATGTTGGAGTTAATGTCCACATAGAAATTAACTTACAAACCTACATTAACTTGTTGTTCAGAGATCATCAACAGGCTGGGCCACTAAGTATACAAACCCCAATAACTTTTGAAGTGATAGAAAATAACACTTAATACATACTCATTGGGGAGAAGGGAAACAATCAAAGCCAAGCATGAAGCAAGGACCTCATACCTGCCTTGGGGCAGGTTTTCCCAGGGGTGTAATTTACAATCCAACACCAGGTAAATATAAAAATAAAATCTGTGGCTACACTCCCTGTTGTACAAATTATTCTTAAGCTCAGCCACAGCTGGTTACAGAATGCAGTGCTGAGTTCTCCTCCACTCACACAATAGCAAAGAGGCAGCTAATCTTTCCTCACAGCATTTTCTCCCATTGCACAAATAGAACATCATAAAGTGTTCTCTTCAGCTACTGCTTTTTCTTCTTTCACAGCTACAGAAGAGTCTCAGTCCCCAGACAGGGCAAAGTGAGTTAACACCAAAATGTACAGCTCATGTTTAAAATCCTCAGGCTCCAAAACTTCTGTTCCCTCCTCCCCAGCCAGTCATTACCACTCTTCCCAAAAAAGCTAAGTCCTGTTTGCAGAGAAATCAGTCTGGGTTTCTCCACCTCACAGAAAAAACACGGGGGAAGCATAGAATTGTGTAACTACAGCTTAGTCAGCAGTTTTCTCAGCACACTTGTTTCCCACAAACATCAGACCAGCTACACCTTAAAAAAAACACCTTACTGCAAAGCCCCCCTTCGGTGAGCACTTACCTAAAGCCAGAAAGGGGATATTTTCTACTTTTTTTTTCTCATTTACACTATCCTTACAACTCCATCCCCAGGGTCTGCACTCGGGGAACATATGGTCAGTGCAGTTTAAACATCCCAGCCCTGTGCAGCACATCCTCTGCATCCGCTCCGTGTGTTTTCCCAAAGCCCTGCGCCCCGGCTGGATTTATGGGACAGATTTCTGCAGCCGCGCTTCCAAACACCCTGACCCTACGTGCATACTTTAACATCATCAGCCGAACCACTAAGAAAACATGAGAAAATCTTCAGGAATTCAATTCGCTTTGAGTATTAAAGAAAAACACTCCTCGCTTGGCCCAGTCTCCTCCCTAACAAGGCAAAAGTCATGGGAATGCGATCCCTTAGGATGCCCGGCACCCAAATCCTCCCGATTTCCGCCGTGATTCACAGCCCTGGGCAAAACCATCCCCTTTTCCCCGCTTCTACTTGAAAAGAAGAGCAAAGGAAGAGGGGGAAAGGGAAAGGGAAAGGGAAAGGGAAAGGGAAAGGGAAAGGAAAGGAAAGGAAAGGAAAGGAAAGGAAAGGAAAGGAAAGGAAAGGAAAGGAAAGGAAAGGAAAGGAAAGGAAAGGAAAGGAAAGGAAAGGAAAGGAAAGGAAAGGAAAGGAAAGGAAAGGAAAGGAGGAAAAAGAAATTAAAAAAAAAAAAGAAAAAGGAGCCAAATATTTTTGTTAAATGTATCATGTTCTTACACCAAAACAAAAGAGCCCCATCCGCCGGCCCGTTTCAAGGCAGAACTTCGTGGCTGCGCCTCAGCTACCGGGAAAATTCCACTTCGAGCGGAGTCCCCCCCGTGCCCCGCTCCTCTGGCCCGGCTGCCCCGGGGCAGAGCCGCTCCTTACCCGCTCCGCTCCCGTTCCTTCCCCGTTCCTGACCCGCTCCGGTCCCGCCAGGGCCCGCCCGCCGCCGGCAGCGCAGCAGCGGCCGCGGCCGGGCCGGGGGCGGCGGCCAGACAGGCCCCGCCCGGCGCATCCCGCGGAGCATCCCCCGGGATAGGCACGGCACCCCGGGACAGGCACGGCACCCCGGGACAGGCACGGCACCCCGGGACAGGCACGGCATCCCCGGGACAGGCACCGCACCCCGGGACAGGCACGGCACCCCCGAGACAGGCACGGCACCCCGGGATAGGCACGGCACCCCGGGATAGGCACGGCACCCCCGGGACAGGCACGGCACCCCGGGACAGGCACGGCATCCCCGGGACAGGCACGGCACCCCCGGGAAAGGCAGGACACCCCGGGACAGGCACGGCACCCCCGGGACAAGCACGGCATCCCGGGCAGCCAGCGCGGGTATCGCTTCTCCGGGGCCAGGAGATCCTCCGAGGCTTGGGAAATGTCTGAATAACCAACAGGATTGTACAGCTGTGTTACCTTCAAAGTCCTTCTTATCCACCCGCCTCGGTGTGCACCTAGCAGGGGTGCAGAAAGGCTGCTCCCGAAAGGCCAGAACACATGGATTGGATGAGGAGGATGAAGAGGGGGAAAGCACCGATAAAACCCTCCAGAGCGTCCCCAGGGACACGCAGCAGCGCTGCCAGGGACTGCAGGCACCCAAAGTGCCCGTCTGAAAGGCTTTCAAGTAGCAGGCACAGCTCACTCAGAGCAGCGAGCTCCAGTTTCTTGTGTAATCCATCCAAAATTCTTTGTAAAGCATTATACATCCATTTCAGTGCCACTGCTTTCCAGTGGTTAAACTTTTAATATTAAAATTGTATTTTAATAAGGAAGGACCTCCTTCTGCAAACTGGGGTTTTTTTTTGGTCCCGTTTATCGCCTCTGTAATGTTTTCTGTGAAAATGAAGCAATCCTACCTCTTTGTTTTATGCATGGGGAGTACTATTCAGGCTCTGTCTGCATTTGCAATAGAAGTGTTCAGTACAGTTTTCCCTACAAATAAATTATTTTATAAGCTTAACACTATTACACAAATTGCTCTAGGATGAACATTGGCCAGTCGTGGTTTAAAAAGTTCTGCATTTGTTTTCTTGATTTTAAAAAAATCCAGTGCCAAAGTTAACAGGGAACTTTTTCACCATAATTTAACCAGTGACTTGTCACATTCTTGTCTCCTTGAAGGCCTTTTCTGAGCACTGCCAGACTGAGGTCTCCAGGCTCAGAGAACAGGGTTAGGAAGCTCCACCTGCCTCCCTCCTCCCAGCCAGGCAGCCCTGGAAGTGCCAGAACCTCATCCCAAGCTCTTCCCTCGGGAATTCCATCCCTGTAAGTTTTCTGCCCTTGAAATCCAGGCCTGGTGTCAAATTTGTATTTCCATAAAAATTGTGTCTTCCATAAACAATTCAATCTTCTGCCTTCTCCCAGGACACACTTGACCTCTTAGCAGAGGGAACCAGTGGATCAATACCTCCTGTTTTGCCAAAATGAGGCCTTCAAATTCTCATGTACTCCTGCACAACATTCAATGAAATCTTGTCTTTTTTTCCTGTTCAGCTTCCACATTAGTTCTTCCTAATTGTTTTCAAGTGGGAAGGGTATTAATTTCTCATATCTCCTTATCAAGGCATGCATATCTAAAAATATATCAGATTTTCCTTTGCTGAGACAAGTGTATACATTTTCAAGGCAAGACTATTCTTCTCCAGTATTTTCAGCTATCATTTTCTCTTCCAAAATAATTCAGTGCAATATAAACTCAAGCATTAGAGAAAAAAAAAAAAAACAAAAAAAACCAAACAACCCTGATAGATTTTGAGATTTAAAATTCCTTAAAATAATTTGGCTATTTGGCTTTGATGAATAGAAGATGCAGAACAAATTACAACTATTAAAAGTTATTTCTACTGTAAATACAATTTGAAGAGCATTTCACATATAGTATTATATGTTGCTAGAGACAGTTATAAAATTCATTCAACATTTTACAACACTAACAAATTCAGTTTGCATTGCTGACTATATTTAAATTGATCTTAACAAGATTTGCAGTGTTTGCCTGTTTATAAAATGTTTACTGTCTATGACTATTTCCTCAAAATTGAAACCTGTCAGTTCATATCTGGCTAAAACCAAATATTTGTAAATAGAGACAGAAAACCACTTGTTTCTAGACTTATTTTAACTCTTTTCTCTATTGTTTTGCTTTTATTTTAGCAAGAAATTTCTGCAAAAGTTCATCTTAACTAAGAAGCATTTTGTTTTGAAAAGTCAAAATCTCCTCACTTTAAATGAATCTATCTTTCACTGAGTACATTGCTATTAAAAACTTACAAGTTTAGTATATTTACTATTTAAATGACATATATTTATTAGATAAAAATTCATTATAGAAATTTAGCATATTGATGTCCTTTTTGTGAGAAATTGAGTCTTTGTTGGTTTCAAATGTTCCTGCCCTGCTACAGCAATAATCTAAGATAAACTTGTTCTTGCCTGCTTGTTTGGACTAAAAATAAACCAGACTTTCCAAAATTCAAAAGAAATTTTTGGTCAAGTTGGTTGTCCCCTCTCCAGGTTCAAATTTCCTGTCCAGCCCCGCACATGCTACAGACAATTTGAAAGTCACTAAGTACAAGGCACAGAAGAGCTGCAGCACCAGTTCCAGGATTGCAGCTGTTCCCTGTGCCAAGGGCTGCAGTTAATGGAACTGCACTGAAATTCTCATTTCTGACCTTTTCAAGCTCGTAACTTCATTAAAATAATCTTTCTTGGATACAGCATTCTGCATTCACTATTCAAGCACAAACTGAAGACTTTTAAATCCAAGGGAAAAGAAAGCTGAAGCTTTAAGGGAGAGCAGGCAAGGATGAGGGTGCAGAAAGGGGAGTGTATGGCAGTGTAAGGTGTTCTCACACTCATTTCAGAACCAAAGGACCTGATACAGACAGAGCCTGCAAGGAGCTAGCTACATGCCACCATTGACTAGATTCCAAGAAAAGTCATGAAATAATCCCTAGTGCCTAAAATAACTGGAAATCACCTGGACTCAAGCTTTGTGGGTTTAATTCTTCTCTGTGTTGCTGATGGCAGACCATAACTACAGTTTTGACTCCAGGCCCGGGGTTCAAAGGCTTCTTCATTAGTTAAGACCTCAGCAGCTTAGAAAGTTTTGGACTCACGGGGGAATCAGTGCTAAAACAGATAAATTATACTTTCTACTGCTATCTGCAATTCCCATGTAAGATGTTTATAACCAGAATTCTTTTCAGGCTGTTAGTGGGGTGCCTTGCCCCGCAGATTCAGCACAAGGAGAATCACACACTTGGTTCTTTTGCAGCTCAGCATTGTATCAGTTGGAGTATTTGCCTCTGTAAGGAGCTGGCCGATTCTGAATGAGCACTGACGTGTCTAAAGCTGCCTGCACACACAGCAGAGGCAGACAATGAGAGCTGCCCCAGGCGAGTTTCCATGTGCTGCAGTTCACAGCTCCAGCCCTGCCTTACAAAGGTCCCCCAAAGCTCTTCTCTGACCCCCTCAGTAACCAAGCTGGCAGCGCTGCAGGCACAAATGCACTTAAAGTTTTTAACTCTGTGATTAAAATAAATATTCAGGAATTTGGGCAAAAATGCCCTCTAAACAAACATGGATTGAATTCACAGCCAAGCAGTACTGCAGGTAGTGACAGAGGCAGAAAAGGCAGAGTAAAACACAACAAGCATTCTTAGAGCAGCATCCAGCCTTCGTGGGAGGAAGTAATCAGACCTCTGGCAGCAATTACAATTTTTTACTGCACTAAGCTTTGTTTTTATTATGACCCCACTGTTGCTAAGATAGAGCTCTCAAATTACCTTACATACAGACTGTATTAAACAACAGGTTTGCCCAATTTACAGGGCCAGATGGTTCTCCAAAGTTTAATTTATCATTGGATTTACACTATTTAAAAAAGAAAAAACCACTGCCTCCACACTGCTCAGCCCAGCTAGTAAGCAACTTCTCCCTTCTCCTGCTAGGCACTATGTGGATACAAAGTTTATTTCCTTTCCTGTTTGCAATTGATGTCTTGCACGTCAGAGCAGATCTGTGTCTTGGAGCCATAGGAAGCACTGTTGAACAGTGAAGTCAGCATCCAGGAAACATGCTGGGCCAAAGACCTTCACACCAAACCTTCACCTGCCAGCAAGGGAAGGTAGAGCAGCAGGATTATAAATACAAATTAGAAATTAAGCTTGCTTGGGAAAAAGGGAAAATAACCATATAAATGGCCAAAGGTAGGAAAACAAACTGTTCTAGCCTGGATATTTCACATGCATCAAGAAGATCTGGCACATTTCATGACCATGAAATGTTGAACTGGTTCAGAATAAAGCTGAAGGGATTAACACGAGACATGACAAACTTTAAACGAACACTTCAGCTGACTGATGTTTAAATCATAGCTGCAGCAAGTAAAAATAATCATTGTTCAAACAGCAATGAGATGCACCCTTGCACAGTTTATGACACCAGCCTAAGATTTCTGGTTTAGAAGTTAAGCTTTCAGGCAGGGAAACCTCTGACCTCCAGGAGCTTAAGGCCTCTTAAAACAGACAATGGCTTTGGTGCTTCTTGGGCAGTTCCAAACTGATGAAGCAGTGGTTCTTAAGAGGGCAGTCTTGAAGTTAAATTAATGCCTGATTACAGCAAATATTTATTTCAAACACCCAGAATAGTTACTGGGGATGTGCTTTCAGAAATCTAGGACAGCTGAATATTTTGAAAGCCTTTAATGTGTTAGTACAGCTTTAAAATTTTTTTGAAAATCCAATTAAAACCATTAAAATAGTGGTTTCTGAATTAGCCACTTAAGCCAGAGAATGAGAGATTATTCATGAGGCATCCAACATTATGGAGAAATTATTAAGCACTCAAAAATGCTTTAAAAC